ACTTGAGGCACGGTGTCTATTAAATTCGCGCAGACGTACGAAGCGCCTAAAAGGCCTTAAGGCGGACCCGTCTCTTATTAAATCGATGGATTCAGAAAATAATTCTGTCAAACTTGTTTACTTGTCCGCACTTTTTTTTGTCGCAATTTTGCACAATGCTTAAGATCGGCCCACATTTCCAAGTAAAACTGAAATTTTCATAATTTCTCGGCAAAAGACGCCGAGTAAAAGTTTTTTGACACTCCAGATTGGTACGAAATATTTTGTTTGGTTGAGGCGATTTTTTGAACCCCCCTTCCACAAAACCTATCCTACGAAACCTTAATCGTTATGTGACCAAGCGATATAATTTTTAATACTTCGTGTTGAATTTTTTTTTACAATAATGAATTGACAAAAAAGTCAACTTTACCGAATTTAGACCAAGAAAGTCTTTGTTTTTTGGATACCAGCGCATAAAGGTGAAATGTGAACCCAAAAGTCCAAGGCGGCCAAACATTTTAAAGTTTTTAATGAAAATTTGTTCTCAATATGACATAAAAAATGGACCAAAATTGAACCAGAATTGGCTCTATTTCTTGGTCTCCACTCCATATGAGATTTCTCACGAATAGTAAGCCCATCCGGAAGAGATTTAACTTTTAATACTTTATGATGAAAATAGTAGCAATTTAAGTAGGGAATTTGGGCCATATAGGTCCATTTTTTAAGTGTCAACATATGTAGCAAGCCCTTATAGGGATGGGAAGTTTAGCTTCTAGATTTTTATTGCGAAAACTAGAAGTAATAAAATATTTGATAAGTAAATTAGGTTTGCTAAATTTGGATCATGCCACGTGACGTTTCCCGCATCCTCCAATGTGCGGACTTTGCATAACAAATGCATAAATGTCTTATTTTTGATGTGTTTTAGTGATGTAGGGTATCTAAATGTCAGGATTGTCCGACTACAATACTTTTACTTATGCTTCTCTTAAATGTAAGCATTTAAGAAACGTCTCCTACGATTCTTCATTACATTACATAACAAAAAACTAGGTCAGGATTTATAGACATAAATAAAATATTTATTTATTGCTTTAATCTTAAAGGCACGATTTCCTAAAAGGCTATATTTTGTGCACAAGTACGGAATGACTAGCTAACGTATAGCATTTAGAGACTTATTTGCCCTAACGAGAAAAAATACAGAATCTCCTTTAGACCTCTCCACTCAGACCAATTATTTTTGTTTTTTGGATTTAATATATTTTTTCATTAAACTTCCATATCAAGTATTTCTTATATGAAGTGATTTTCCCTTTAAGACTTCTGCTATATTCCTCACACACACACATACCGTAATTCTTTCGTTCAACGGTAAACGTTTTTTTTTCATGGATTGGACCTCCTATTCGTGAGAGAAAGAAATAGCATGGTGGTGATGGCAGCCTATGCTCGGATTTATGCTCGATCGGTAAGTGTTATGCCTTAACCGACTGGGCACTCACTATAGTTATGACAAAAAAAGGCTCTACCGCGCTTTCGATTTTTTTATTTGAACGCGCGAACACTACTCAAATAGTGCGGCATTGCCCAACATTAAATTCCCTACGTTATACTACAGTTATTTATAAAGCGTCTTTTGAAAATAAGCCGTTATGTAGGAAGTGATGGAAAAAGTGGTCGGAGCCAATAGCGCTCGTCCTTGGATGAAAACCATGCATGCCAGTGTACCGAACAGTTTATCAAAATGTCTTAAAGACTTGGGCCTGTAGAAGTACACAGAAGACATACACGGATTACCGGATAGGCAAGCTTAGATCGTTTCAGAAAATGCTTATAAATTAGTCGATATAAAGAAAAAAGATTAGATATCATTTTCAGGATACGTCGGGACGAAGTGAGTGTTATTATGGAATTTTAATAACTGTTTTCAAAAAGGCTTTATTCTGTCTTAACACTACTTTTCTTAAGATAATTTACTCACAAAATCAATCATATTGAGGCGTTCATAATTTCTCAAATGAAATTTAAACCTATCTTATCGGGAGTTACTCCTCTCATGGTATATTCTTAAACCTATGGAATAATGTCTCTTGTTTGCTAACGTGAACGCGTCCCTTAATCCGATCGACTTCTTCTTTCATCCTGACAATCTAAGATTGTCAAGTATCAAGACTAGTGTCAGTTAGTAAACGAAATCTTTCCAAATTATCTTTTCATATTTCATTTTTCGCAAATCGGGCAACATAATCAAATTTTCATTTTGGACCTATGAAGGATTTGTCGAAATCGTTTAGGAACACCAACTTAGCTTACCCTATTTCCTATGGCATTGATTTCGAATACATTATTTTCGTAAGTGACGGAATAACATAATTGCTATACATATGTCTTCTGTTGTAAGGTATAAATTGCGATATAAACAACATAACAAATATATAAGCTCTAAGATGACGATATCTGGTATTTACATTCTATTTGATATAAAAACATTGTTGTTGAAACAAGAGCAAGCGAGTGCTCTTAATTCGATTTGAAACAATTCAAATTTCGAAATTATGTATGCATTTTTAACAAAAATTTGCATTCATTCCCGAACATATGTAAAAAGCATTCATTGTTCTTAATTTAATTTAAAATATATAGTAGTATATATATATATAGATAGCGCATATAAACACACTTGATTGATTTAATTACCTTATTTTGAAGAGGATACCAAAGAATTAGCTTTTCAAATTTATTTAATTTATTCCGCTTTTTTTTGTATTTTACAAAACTAAAGAAATGTATGGGGAAAAGAATTGAAAATCAAGAAATACTTCTTAAGCTACCTTCGCTTATAATAAGTCAAATAATTTAGATCGAGTAATCCTATATATCTCATACATCATTGATTTGAATCATATGATTGTAAGCGTGTATATAGGAACATAATGCAAAACTTCAAATTAAAGGCATGGGCTGAAGTAACTGACTTTGACCTGATAGACTGCCTGTCCACGTTTAACGTTGTTTATATTGATTGGGTGTTAGTGAGAGAGACCGAGTTCTATGTATTGTCCATCTGTTTTTCCGCGAAGAGCAAAATAACTGCAAAATAATTTGCACTATTGAGGGCGTATTAGCTAATGAATGAGTAAAATTTATTCATTTTTTTTGCAGCAAATCTTCGATTAACACTTTTTAGGATTGAGAGGTGCCTCACATGTACGTTTAAGCACTGTTTCTTCAAATTATATGCTGATTAAATGCCAAAACTTGCTTTTCTATCCGAACTTTTGTAACTGTGGTCCTTGTAACAGTGGAACTATAATCGACATGCACTTGCATACATAGTCACCACTAGAAATCCACTCAAAATCTTCCTTTCATTAGAAATATTTATTCTTTACATAGTGGGTGAACAGTGAAAGGACCAATGTAATATGTATCCTATATTCTTCGTCCATAGATATGCGAGCTAAGACTCTTGATTTATATATATACATATATGCATAAACATTCAAAGTCCTTATTAAGCGTTTTCAATGGATATTTATATTCCATAGCAGATTTTTAAATAATTCTCCAGCTACTCAACAATGTTTCAAAGTTTTTAGCTGCTCCCTATGAAATGGGCCAAAAAAAAAACATGAGCTGCAAAAGAGTAACGCAGTTTAATCAGCCAATCTCCCAGGTTTTGTTAAGTCTCCCAAAAACTTAGTATGCCATCATTCTGTATATTAAATGATAGATACGAAAATTATTCTTGCAGATCTAACACTGTTAAGAGTTTTGTTTGACATCGCGAACGTACTATTAGTATAATATGTTATTATTATTATTATTAAACTCCTTAACTATTTGTTAAATGTTGAACTTAACGGGTCAATGAGATTGAAACGGTTTACAATGTAAATGAATACCATGTCCAAGGGTTTCGCGGAGGGACTATTGTTTAATGTATGAAGCACGTTCAAGATTTGCGAACAAATACGCAGTTAACCTTTTTAATAAAAAAAAATATATTTAGAATTTTTTTCGATACAAACATAAATACTCACTACTTATTTCCGATAATGATTGTTATTTAACAGTTACAAGCCAGATATCGATAAATCAAAGATACCTAGAATTATCTGTTGATGTAAACATTTAGTAATTCACATTGTTGTTGTTATTATAAAATATTTTCATGTTTGCAATATAATGGCAAACGAAATAACAAATCGCGCAATACATTATGGGAATTTGGTCAAAAAAGAGGAGAAGTATATGAGCGAACTTCGAATTTGGTCAAAAAAAAGGAGAAGTATATGAGCGAATTTGGAATTTGGTCAAAAAAAAGGAGAAGTAAATGAGCGAACTTCGAATTCGGTCAAAAAAAAGGAGAAGTAAATGAGCGAGCCGGAATTACAACTTGTTGCAATGTATTTGAACTTCGAATTTTGTTCTTTAGAGAGGGTATTAGAATTATTCCTCTCAGAAATAAAATGGATTAAAATATCCAATAGAAATGATTAGAAATATTCCTCACATGTTTGGAATTATTGAAAATCATTTTCAGTTGACGGCAAATTTTTATAGGCTTATTCTCAGATGCTCACAATTTTTATACAAATAGTTGAACAATTATTAAAAAGTATAATAAAATCAGCCGCATTGCGTTTTCTGCTCATTTCTCTTATGTGACATTACAGGAAGCCTCTCTGCATATGAAAACTTAAACTGCAATGCAAACACACACAATACGTTATTTTGCTGCTTATTTTGCTATAAATGCTTTTTCACTATATATTTTTATATATAAATTAAATCAGTTTAGAAATGAAATTTTTGAAACATTTGCAAGAATTGTACCGCAAAATATTATTATTAAACGTGGACCAATGTTTTCTACGTACATGCGTTAGTATATATGTAAATTTATATGGATTTAAGAGTAGACTAAGATAGAAGTCAACAGCTTTACAAATAAGGCAAACAAAAAAAAAAAAACAACAACAAATTAGAAGAAGAAAAAAGAAACTTACCGGCCATGACAGTTTAACAGTTTGTTTGACAAAACGCAGCCAATAAAAAGAGACTGAAGGCGAAGAAGATAGAGAGCGAGAGTTTTTGAAAAAAATATAAGCGATGCAATGTACTTATTTTGCATATATATATATATATACATATGTACATAAATGTATATATGCACATATATATATATATATAATATGTATTTATATATATATATATAATATATATCTACATATATATGTATCTACATATATATGTTGTATAAAGAATAGGGAAAGGATTATAATACAAAAAACCCAACTACACACAGCACCAAATAATTTTTTTTTTTTAAGATAATTTGAGGGGGATGTTGTGTTGTTTTGGAGAACGTGTTTACTCCTTAGCTTTGTTCCTCTTTACACGCATAAATGCAGCTGCAGGCACAATTCTTTTTAATTTCAACTATTTTGTTTTAATATTTATGCTTTTTTTTGTGTTTTTGTTATTAGAAATTAGCACTTCGTTAACATTTTGTTGTTTGTTTTATTCATGAAGAAATTTCTTTATGTGCGGTAACAAAACACGATTAAAAGGGAAGAAAGAGAGAGAGAAAACAGAGAACTAAAATGTCTTAAGAAAAAATTCTCAGAGAAAACAAATTTATTGCTTTTGCTTTCCTTTTAACTACATGTCAAAAGTACGGCAAATTGGTTTCGACTGAAAGTTATCAAATCCTCAAGGGTTCAAATATATATATATGCTTCCTATTTCAGCGTACGATTAAATTGAAGCTTAGCTTTACAAATTAATGCTCCGTTTATGGTTATTGCGAGGAAAAAAAATTCTAAATTGGAATATTTTCTTCAACATTATTCTTATATAAATTATTTTCAATTCGCTGCGCTTCTAAACGAAAAACAACAGCAAAACACAATCGTTTTAATATTAACACTCGTGCTATATACCCGTAACTTTTGCTTACTACATTTAGCGGCCCCTAACCTTCAAAATCAGCCAATTACTTCACACTTTTTTCAAATATTAAAAACAAAAACAAAATTCCTGCGTTTGTTCTTCACTTTGTATAGCAGGCAATTATGTATATGTCATTGCGAGTGACATTTCAGAATTTTGCAAGAATTTTAATATTCAAAAATTTTCCTTATTTATCGTTACAATAAGACTTATATATGAATTTATCGCACAGCAAAAATTTAAATCTCTTCAAAACGTAAAATTTTCTTTAAACATAAATTCTTTCACTTCATATTTCACATTAATTTTCGTCTTCTTTTCCTATGCTATTTGCCGTTCTCTGCATCTTATGACAAATTAAAAAGCAACACTAACTAACTACTACTACTACTACCACTATAACCACTTAATTTGACAACGTTCTGCTTTAAGCGAAAAACAGGCAAATTGAATCTGGGAAAAAAAAGTTCGACAGCGAATTCGTTTTAATACATAAAGCAAAACATTAAGGAAAGAAAAAGAAAATAGAATCAGTAATTCCCTTAAATTATCTGATCTCAAATTTCTTTTTTTTAAATTTCATAATTACTTTATAATTAATCTAAGGGAATTCATATTCATTTTTTTTTAATAAATATTTAAGAGCTAATAAATGGACATTTTTATATTTTTCTTTTACTTTTATTCCTCATGCAGGGAATTTCTGCGTAACTCTGATCGTAAGTGTGTTGGTGTATTATTTCACTTGTGCACTTTATATGCCGCTGCTTTTTTATTTCTTATGCAATTCTTACACACGCTCCGATCGGTTTACAATGCACATTAAACAATTTTCTACGTATTATATGCATTTAATTAATTTAAACGATTTAAATAATGTTTTTTATTTTATCTTTGATAAACTCTCTTCTTTTGGGAATTCGCGTCTTCGTATTCAGAAAAATGAACTAAAACATGCCTCGCCGTACTTCGTGCTTTCTCTGATTGCAGAGATGCCAACAGTTCGATTTATTTTAACTTTTTGGTAAAGATTACCACAAATGTGATTAGCATTGCCTTTACTTGCAGTTTTATCCAATTTCATTATGTTGATATATGACTACGAGTTAAAAGCGCGTTTAAGTTACCTTATGTTAATATGAAAACCTTTTCCAATTTAAAGCTTAAAAACCAGTATTCCTGAGCTTAGAGGAGAATCTCGCTTCTCTCGCTGGTTTTCTTTATGTATTTTGTATATAAACTGAAATCAAAAAATTTCAATTATTTCAGCAAATCAACATTGATGATGATTCATTGTGCTGAGTAAGAAAGCAAAAACTACCTTTAGATTTAAGAATTTTAAAACTTTACTAGTTGGCATTGCCGTTTAGCACGAATTCGCCTTATACGCATTTGAGCATTGCCACATGCGAAGAGAAAAGCAAACGTTCGAAACGAAACCGCAAAATTTAATTTTTGTTTTCATCATAAAAACCTTTCGCTAAGTGCAGGAAAGCCTGGTATTCCAGTAGAAAAATTGTTATCAGCCTCCATAAGTTGATAAATAATTGCACTATATTGGATATATAATATATTGGATGTATAATATACGATACGGGTGTAATATTTGAAATTTATACTATTTAGCGTTAATCTACAGCTTACGTATGATATGTTAATAATATATGACTTTTTGGGCCGAGATAGCTATTCTTTGAGTTTAACAAAGTTTTACAGAAAAGCGAACATAAACAAATCTATTTCGGTATTTATAAAGAATTTATGAAATATTCTGAATGTTGTAAATAAAAATTGATTTTTTCAACTATGCATGCCTTCATATATCTTATTCGTTTCAGATTTAATTAAATTTTTTTTTTACAAATTATAATTTACTTGCCTTTCATGTAGTTCACAAAATTCCAAAATTCCAATAATACTTTATGCGGTATTTATTTGAGTTGACATATTTTCATTCGCTATAGCCGACGTTAAAAAGAACATTTTTCATGGTGGATTTTTTTTGAGATACGTATTCCGCACTATACACTTTAGAATGATATAACGAGCACGGATGAATTTATAAATTTATAAATCACAGGTCGAATATTATTTTATCCGAAGAGAGAAAAAATTTTAAATTAAAAAACTGCACTTTTTCACGAAAGTTATAAGTGAATTTTGTTTTCTGAAAGTGCTTATATCTCCCGCGAAAGAGCCGAGTATGATTAAGGAGCTAATTTTTAACGTTTTTCATAAATTTCATAAACTTTATGGATTTGATTATTAAGAGAAATATATATGCTGTGCTCATGTTCAACTAATAAGGTGATTAGCAAAAGAATTAAAGAATTCATTTTTACGAAAAGCACAAAAGAAAAAAATTGCTTTCATTAACAGTAAAGAACTTACCGTGCGGTTTTTTGACGCTGTTTATATTAATGGCCGTATTTAGCATATTCCCAATTTTAGTAAAGCTTGATTGGCGCATAAATGCACGTTGTGGTAAAGGTGGCGGCGAAGGTGGTGGTGGATCGGGCGGTTCCAAGACCGGACTATGTCTACCCCAACGGCCCATTTTATCCGTTGTCTTCGATTCTCTACCCTCAAGTTGATCTTTAAAATCTCTGCTCGGAGTATCGAATATATTTACCGAAGCCAATTTAATAATTTTCTGTATCAAAAAATTTTTTTAGAGAAAAAATTAAAAATAATTTAGAATTAAGTACTTTATATTTTTTATTATAATAAGAAACATCTTATCTTATAACGCTGCAGGATAGTTTATTTATTCAAAACGCTAATAATACGATATAAAATTTATTAAATAAATATGTGCACACGTATGGAATTTTTTATTAAATTCAATAAAAAACGAAGTTGTATTCAATTTGTAACAAATATTTTGTAACAAATAAAAAGATATAACGCACGAAGAATTTCTAAATTAAGTAAATGAATAAATAATAAAATCGCTTTCAATTTGTCCGTCCGTCGATCTGTGTTTGATCCTTATGAATGCATTACATCTCTGCCCAGAAGAAGAACAAAAATTCCTATCCGATTATGCAGCTTCATCAAGCTTAGTTCAAAATCTGTAGATCTATAAGTTCCTAAAAAAAAAAAACAAAATGGCGAACAAGTTTTTTCTTTCATAAAAAGAATTTAATTAAGCGTTTCTTAAAAAATTCTCCATAATTAAAAAATTCTGTTAAATCGGTATACACTTGGTACGGAGTTAATTTCATGTGTGCGTTATATGTAAACATATATGCCATAAGTCCTTCGCTTTACTTAATCGCTCATAGGGCGCTGGCCATCTATCTCCTTTCGAATATATTTTAGTACCCTTTTTCGGTCTTTGCTTCGCTTTCGAATAAATTGTTGCACTTCTATATAATGTTCAAAACTGTCAATGAAAACTGTTCCTTTGTAACAGTTATCATGCATTGTGTTTGAACTAAAAACAGTGTCTCTTGCCTTAACCTTTTTTTTTAACTTTGGCATTAAATTTAAAGCGCCTCACAAGATTGAAGTACTAAAGCAACTAAACAAATTATATTCGATCGTGACCGAAACTTTTATACCCATCACCGACTAAACAAAAAGAAATGTAAATTTTCATACTCTATAATATTGGATGGGAGGGGCCAATTTCTCCTATTTTCAAAAAAAAAAAAATTGGAAATTTATATGGTGTACGTGCCGTACTGTGTAAGTAATAAGCACAAAGGATGGAAAGTAAAAGTGTTCAGGATTTTTGTTGAGTGACTCGCTCTCTTGTAAGCTTGTGGGCGATATTTTAATTTTTGCGACCGAAAGAACGTTTGCCATAGACACTATGCAGACAAGCGGATGGACAGGCGAACACACGACCATGCCTAGCTGAACTTGAAATTGCCCAAGATTTTATGTACATTATGGGATTTTTGAATTTTGCTTCTGAAAAGCCAACTTGTTCCTTTTGAAAAACGGAGATGTCCTCACTTCACGTAGTACTGTGGTCGTGTCCTTGGACCGAAAGGACCCATTTTCAATACCAACGTGCATGCAAGAACTTCCAAAGTTTTTGCCAAATTTGAAGTTGATAGGTTCACTTCTGCGTTCAGGAGAACGTTTACAACAGACATTATGGGGCCAGACGGACAGATGGTCACGCGTAAATCGGTACGGAATTTCATGCCGATCAAGAATATAAATACTTTGTGGGTTCCCTGAAGCTTCCTTCTGGGCGTTGCAAACCGTTTGGCAAAACGAATATACACCTGGCACGTCGGTGATGGGTATAGTTATTATCGTAATTAGTTAACAAATGGAAGCATAGTATTGTAGCATCTTAGAACTACGACAAATAAATTAAGTATACTTCTGATGTCAACGTCACTTCGTATGCGAATTATTAAGTAAACCAAGTAAGAAAATTAAATTTGGTCGGGACCGAATTTTTTATACCCATTAGCGTTTACCACAAAAAGAGACAAAAGAAGTAAAGGAACAAAATTTTCATTCTTCATAATATGGATCGGGTACAGTTGATTTCTTCTATTTTTAAAATAAAAGTTTTTCTCGTAGAGGCATGTGGGCGTTTTAGGGGTGTCCTTTGAAAAGTTTAGATCAATTCCAAATTCTCTTGCAAATTTTTAGGCCAGATTCACTAACGGAAGAATGTTTACCACAAATACTACGAAGTTACGCGAACAGGCAGATGGATAGACGAACAGGCGGACATGCTTAGGCGAATTCAAGAGTTATTTTGAAGCTTGTTTCTGCTTGTTACGAAGGTATTGAAAAAATAGTTTAATTTTGTTACATATGATACATACATGATATTGGGTGGGCGTGGTCACCCCACGCCAATGAAAAAAATTGGTTTTTCATTTTACGGCACAGATGCTAGAACATCGACCATAGAATATGGGTTCGGGAGCAACAGAGATTACACAGACGGACAGATGGACATGCTTAAATCAATTTAGGATTTATGTTGATCAAGAACGTGTATAATTTGCGAGGTGTCTGATGCTTCCTTCTGGGCGTTGCAAACCGTTTGACAAAATGAGTATACACCCCTTCCTTCGGTGGTGGGTACAAAAATTACAAAAACAAATAATAAAAAAAAACGATAAAAAAAATAAAAGATAATATTTTCCACTTGTTAATAAAAGCATTTGTTTGGGTCACGGAATCGCAACAAAGTGTAAAAATACAAAGTAAATAAATCATATAAGGAAAATTTCGTAATAACGAATTTCGAAAAGCAAAACTAATCGATAAAAAGAAAATACAGTAAAAATTTTTCAATCAATTCGAAATGAACCTGAATATCCACACCGACCATCTCGAGCTTCTGGATAAAAATTGCAAACAAATTGAATGATTAATGGATTCTCACTTGGTCTAGGAATGAACAAATTCGTAGCGCATTGTAAAATCATTTAAAGGAACACCTAATTATATATTATTTTTACCTTGTTCGAATGTTATTAAAGTTTAAATCGATTAGAACCCCTATCTTCCATCAGGGCGAGTGAGCGCCAAAAATATTCAAAACAAGTCCGGAACGCCTAACTATGACATCTTTGAAAAGCTCCTATTATTACACTGCAAGCTTCTTGGAATAAAATTTTCCAAAGCACATGGCTCAGCTAAGCGGATAAGATAGCGAAAGGGATCCTTTAAACTTCATTTAGTATGTTACTCCTAATGAAATCACTTTTAACTGAGTTCAAAGACCTTTATAAACGTCATACTGCCGTTTTTGAATCATGCCGGAGATGTGCTATGGATTGTAAGCTATTTTTAGAGCAGCGCTTTTGAACCGTTCATTGCTGATGTACGACGTAAGTCTATTAACATGGGAATGTGAAAGCGTGCTTGCACTTTTGAGGTCGTAAGCAGTTGAACTGCAAGTAGATGGACGGACAGAGCAGATGGCTAAAAATGCATTTAAAATTTTACTTTATTGTATTTCTAATTACCATTTTTGGATGTTAAGAA